TGGGGAGAACCTGGTTGGTGTTCTCGACGATGTTGTCGTGGCGCTTCTCGACGGACTGCTTGTTCAGCACGGCCGAGAGAGCGGCGATGGTGCCCTGGACGGGGACGAACTGGGCGTCGTTGTCGACCTTGACGGAGCGCTCAGCAACCTGGCCGTTGCCAACCTGCGAGAGGAGAGCGCCGGTAAGCTGGACGGGGACGACCTGGTTGGTGTTGTCGACGACCGAGCCGGCAAGGACGGGGCCGGAGAAGGCAGAGACGGCCGCAACGGCAGCGAGGAACTGGAGGTACTTCATTGTTGGATAAGAAGGTGGTGGGTGGTTGAACGGTTGTCAAAGAGAGTGTGTGAAGATGTTGGGAGCCTGGAAGGCGGAGGTATAGGTATTCGTGGACGGGAAAAAGAGGGGAAGGGGGAGCAGCAGCAGGAACAGAGCACGGGAGGGAGGGAAAAACTAGCTTGGGGGGAGGAATGGGAAGATGGACGCCAAGAGGTACGTTATATACCTTGGTCGCCAAGGTCTCAGTCGCGAAAGGGGGCTGGATCGAGTGAGCTTTCGCCTGGGCTGGCAGGACAGGGGGAGGAGCGGCGCTTGTGCTACAGCTAGAGGGGGGCGCGGAAGAGAGGCGTGGATGAATCAAAACATGGCAGGCACGTCCTAGGAGGAGCGGAGAGGGAACGCGAGAGCTTGTTTTGGTTGCAAGGCACCGGGCTGCGGACAAAGGTATGGGCACAGCAGAGTAGACGCGGACGAGGCAGGAGGGCTGAAGGCGCACGCCGCATTCGCTTCGTAGCCGACGTTGAGTGAGGTTTCTCTCAGGCATGTTTAGGACGGGCTAGGGGAAGGGGACACGGACGAAGGGAGGAGGAGGAGCGGGGGAAGGGGGACGACGAGGCTGTAGTCTGCGTTGCTGAGACGTGCAGGGGATTCCAGAGGAGCAGGCGGATGCATCGAGGCCCGGGGGCGCGCCAAGTGCTGTGACACGGAACGGCGAGATGAGCAAGCTCTAGGTTACGTACTCGCCTGCAGAATGATCCATTGGGGTACGTCTCGTGAGCGCTCCCGCTACTGCGCTGCCCGTGGTGAGAGCGTGCATGCTGCAAACCATTTCCCGTGCTATTCCTGTCGCATGTGTACAATCATGGTTTGTTCGCATCCGATGCCATCGATCAAGAAGGAGCGGTGTTATGCGATCCAGCCAGGCTCAAGCCTCATTTACCCGGTCTGCATCGTAGACTAATGCTGCTTCCGGACCAACGTCCGACACAGGAACGAGTGTGGGGCGCGCTAGGCTTTCCCTTCATCTTACTCGAGCTTTGGCGAGGCGTCCCGCGGTCACGCCATGGTTCTGGGAACGCATCGGTCGTAGCATAAAGGCCCGCATGTGTCGAAAGCGTGCGGCATGAATGCACAAAACAGGCATGAAGGCTAGAAAGCCTGATTGTCCGAAGGCGTATGACGTCTTTATCTGCTGCCCTCGCCGATCCTGTGGCTGCCCGAAGGCCAGAAGTCGACACGAGATGGGCCCATCGTTGCGATGCGATGCAATGCGAACCGCGGGCTCTGCGATCGCCAAGCGCGCAAGACGTGCGGCGGCGGAGCTAGACTTTGCGATGCAGCGGCTAACATTTCGGAGGGACAGAATAAGCTTCTGCCGCATTGAATGGAGCGCGGAGACGGGGAGGGAGCAGGAGCGCGCAAGAGGTCAGAAGCCAGCCTGCAAGCTGAGTTGCCGTTGCCTCGCTCGATGGTGGGTGGGCAAGATGGCGCAGCTGACTGGCGCGCAGAAATGGTGTAGATGCAGCTACATCTGCGATGTTGATGCAAGTCACAGGCGGCGGCAACGGCTGTCTGCGAGTACATTGGCGAGTGTGAGGAATGGGGACGGCGGCGAGTATGCCAAGCTTGACAGGCGGCAGTGTGGAGAGGCTGCTATTGCAACGGTTGCTGCCAGCTGTGATGCAACGCACGGCGAGGCAAAGGCAAGGCAAGCGCCGGGCAAAGGCAGGAGGGCCGCTGCTCAGGAGTGTGCATGTGCTGGAATGCGTGGGCTAGCTGGGCTGACGTTTTGACAGGTGCGCGAATCCTCCGCACACACGTGAGGGCAAATCGGATGAAAAGCTTTCTTTTTTCGTTGCTGGCGTGAGGGGGATGGCAGGAATGAATTACGTGCGCCGGGCGCTGCAAGTGAGGAATGCACCTGTTCCCTTCACCTAGTCAGGCGGAAATCCAGTCAGACGCGTGCCACGCCCCAATGGATGCTGCACGTCGAAATCCGCCGATCGGTTTCACTTTTCCAGGTCGCTTGCAGTCGAGCCCGACCTCGCTCTATCCACGTCGATCCCAGCTAGAACAAGGACATTAGGGTGCAGACCCCACTGACGACCGACGGAATGTGGCAGACCAAATCGAAGCCGGTTGCGTTCAATGAGAGCGGATAGCATCTGATTTTGGGGAGGGTGTGGGGGCTTTTTTTTT